ATGGATGGAAGGGTGGATGGGTGGATGGATGGGTGGGTGAATGGATGGATGGGTGAGTGGGTGGATAAAAGGGTGGGTGGATGGGAGGATGGGTGGATGGATGAGTGGATGGGTGGATGGATAGATGGATGGAAAAATGGGTGGATGGATGGAAGGGTGGATAGGTGGATGGATGGGTGGGTGGGTGGATGGATGGGTGGATGGGTGGATGGAAGGGTGGGTAGATGGATGGATGGGTGGATGGATGGGTGGATGGATGGATGGATGGGTAGATGGATAGATGGGTGGATGGATGGATGGGTGGATGGGTGGATGGATGGGTGGATGGATGGGTGGATGGGTGGATGGATGAGTAGATGGGTGGATGGATGGATGGGTGGATGGGTGGATGGATGGGTGGATGGATGGATGGATGGGTGGATGGATGGATGGATGGGTAGATGGATAGATGGGTGGATGGATGGAAGGGTGGATGGGTGGATGGATGGGTGGATGGATGGGTGGATGGGTGGATGGATGAGTAGATGGGTGGATGGATGGATGGGTGGATGGGTGGATGGATGGGTGGATGGATAGATTGGTGGATGGATGGGTGGGTGGGTGGATGGATGGATGGATGGATGGATGAGTGGATGGAAGAGTGGATGGATGGATGGAAGGGTGGATGGATGGAAGAGTGGATGGATGGATGGATGAGTGGATGGATGGGTGGATAGATGGGTGGATAGTTGGACGGATTGGTGGATGGATGGATGAGTGGATTCGTGGATGGATGGGCAGGCGGATGGATGCGTGGATGGGTGGAAGCGTGGATGGATGGGTGGATGGATGGATGGATTGGTGGATGGATGGATGAGTGGATGAGTGGATGGATGGGCAGTTGGATGAATGGGTGGATGGATGGAAGGGTAGATGGATGGAAGGGTGGATGGATGGGTGGGTGGATGGAAGGGTGGATGATTGGTTGGATGGGTGGAAGGGTGGATGGATGGATGGATGGGTAGATGGATGTATGGATGGATGCTTGGATGGATGAGCAGGTGGATGGATGGGTTGATAGGTGGATGGGTAGGTGGATGGGTGGGTGAATGAATGGGTGGGTGGATGAATGGGTAGATTGATAGATGGGTGGATGGTTGGGTGGGTGGGTGGGTGGATGAAGAGGTGGACTTAGGGAGGGCCGGAGAGGAATCTTTCCCCCTTCACTGCTCACTGACCCCAGGCGGGCTTTCGTTAGGGAGAGTCCGAGCAGACATCTTGAGACTTAGACACCTTCCCTTTCCTGCTCATGGGAAGGAACCACAACCCCAGTTCTCCCAGCCCCATACTTTCTCTGGGACCCTCCCCCTTCCCACTGCTGGGAGGTGGCCCCCTAGAGGAACCTCCTGGCACACCCTGTGCAAAGCTAAGGACACTGTCCAGCACCAGGTTCTCCCTCCTGGGAGTCTGGGTTTCTGGGGAGGGGCTTTGGCATTCTCCCTGCTGAGAGGACACTGAGGATGCCCAGGTGGCATCCAGGTGTGGAGCCACCCAAACCTGTCACCTCCTCCCAGTTCACGGATGCCGTCAGGTCAGCATCCAGGAGTCCCGGGCGAGAACTGCAGGAAGGAAGGCATGGGTCTCCACGCAGCTCCCCAGGGCACTGAGCTATGGCCTGGGCAGCGGGTACAGAGCTCCCCCTGGAGGTCCCCCGGGTGCCCAGAGCTTCTCACTAGTGCCAACCAGCCCAGCTCAGCAAGAGGCTCATCTGCAGAGGAGCACGGGGAGCAGGGAGGCTCACGGACGGCTCCTTCCCCCGCTGCTCCCTGCAGACTTCCTGCAGTAAGTGAGCATTTTCTCTTCCAGGACAAGTTGGTGGATCAAAGAAACGCACAGTGGCCCCTCTGACCAGGAGCCTCCGTCGTGCTGACACCCGAAGCACTGCCAGGTGACAAATCAGCAGTCGCCTCTCCTTTCTCTGTGCACCTGTGCCCTGTCGCCTGCACCTGCCCCTCTGCCTGTCCCCTTCTGTCAGTCCCTGTCTCCTCTGCCTCTTCTCCCTCTTGCTCTTTTCGACCATTTCTCTGATTGCTGGTCCCACTGTTTTCCGCCTCTGCTTTCTCTTCCCCACTATATGCTCACTCACTCACTCAGTGGATCAGCTGGATTAACTGAGAGTCTACTATGTGCCTGGAGCAGCTGTAGGCACTGGGAGTAAGACAGGGGTCAAACCTGTGTTTAGGGAGCACAGGAGGCGGAGGCATGTCACTCAAGGAAACAGCACATAGAGGAGGTGGCATCTCCACCGGGCACTGCTGTGCCCCAGGCTCAGCTCCCTGGCCAGCTGGTTTCCTGCCTTGGTCAAGCCCCCTTCCTGTCTCAGCCTGTTTCTGCGTTTCCGGAAGGAGGCTGTTGGGTTGGGCGGGTACTTCCCAATCTTCTCATGACCGAGAATGTCTTTCCTTGATGTGCTTAGTGACATAAGTTGTCTGGGGTGGAATTCTAAGCTGGCACTGACCCTTAGTGAGGTGTGAGGTGCCCTAAGTCTGGAGCACCTGGTTTGTTGTGCACGACACCAGCCACCAGCCGAGTGCAACTGGGGTCACGCTGTGCTACGGAACAGGCATCTGTCAGCATGGGGCACTCTGTGGCCGGGTGAGGGGCTGCTGGGATAGGCGTGGGGTGCTTGACACGGTAGGTCCCACCTGGGCAGGCCAGGTGAGCTGGGGACACCTGGACCATCTCCCAAGCTCTCCAGGTGCCTGCAGGGTGGTGAGTTTGACAACTGGTCACCAGTAACGAGTCCTGGTCCCTCACCTGTTGAAGTCTGAACATTAGAGAAGCTCGCCCAGGCTGCGGCAGGCAGATAAAGCAGGGTTTATTTACAAAGGGGGACACAGACTTCTCCCACAAGGGGGAAGGGGCCACAGCTGTATCCTGGTATCCCCAGAAGTGAGGTGTCCTGGGCTTCCTTTGTTCCCTGCCTCTTCCCCTTACCTTCTCCTCCCGGCAGGTGACTGGGCCCAGGAAGGCTCGGACACAGGTGGGCTGAAGGGGGAGGGCAGGTGGAGCCCAGGACGCATCAGTTGACAACCTTCTGGCTCCCGGTGTGGAGGGGCGATCCCTGGGACAAGTGACCTGAGCAGCAGGTGGGAGCAGGGCAGGTTACCTGACAGGGTGGACGAGAGTCATTTGTGCGTCATTTGTCAAGTCTGAGGTCAATGTTTGTACTTGGAAGTCACACAGACCGCATGGGGCACATCTTGTGAGCAACCTGAGACAGAGGGTCCCCACCTGGGGTGGGCGTCATTGCTCCAACACCAGGACCCCTGCCCGCGTGCTGACCTGAGGGGAGGCCGGATCTCTGAGCTGTGAGGGGAGTGTTGAAGTAACCCGGGCATATTGGTACCTCGGGGAACCCAGTCCGAGAACCACTGAAGGCCATCCTTCTCCCTCCTCAAAACGGCCCCTCTGCTGCCTTGGAGGAGGGGCCTGGAGGCCTGGCCACCTGAAGGCTGGCCCCAGCGCCTCTGTGGTTGGTCCAGCCTTGAGGGGGGAGGTGACGGGGTCCAGCGACCCCCCCAGCCCCCGCCACCCTGATGCCCTCCGTGGGCCCCGCGGCCTTCCCTCAGCAGAGGTCCCCGGCTCCCTCCCAAGTGCCTTTTGAACATCTTTTTTGAGGATCAACAAAGTCCCTAGACTTCCTGTCCCACCTCCAGTTCCCTCCTGCTCCTTAGAGGTGGCCGAGGGGGCGCTGGCCACAGCTGGAGGTGAGTGGGTGGGGCCAGCAGCCAGGTCCCGACAGGGATTGGAGCGCGCACGTGTCTGTCATGCCAGTCTGGCCAATGGGCGGTGAGTGTGTCCCCAACGTCAGAAGCCCCTTAGAGAGGTGCAGCTGGCCCGGCCACAGACGGTGGCCCAGAAGACCGTTCCCTCTGGACGGTGGGACGTAACATGGCACAGGAGGTGTAGGGAGGTCTGAGCTTTGGAAAACGATGGCTGAAAGGGACAAGAATTGGCTTCCCCTGCCAAGGGCGACGGAGAGTCCCAGCTTCAGATTAAGACAGACCCGGAATTGAATTCTGGCTGTGGCACCGCGCTGTGTGACCTGAGACAAGGGAACCACCTCCCTGAGCCCTGATTCCCTCAGCTGAAGAACGGAGGGCGTTGGCTATTTCCCTCGAGGGTTCAGGAGGCTGCGCCTGTCCTGGGCGCACAGTAAGACCCGCCCGCCCGCCGAGCGCCCGCTGCTGGTGGCTGTCAACCTTATTAGCTGCCGCGTGCTGCTCCCTGGGTCAGCGTTTCCCATGAATCAGGAGGAAGGTTCGATTTTGATCCTACTTTTACAGAGAAGGGAACTCGGTTGCTTGCAGTTAGGAGCGTGCCCGAGGCGCACCCTGGCAGAGCTGGGATTCAGGCTGGGCATCCGTGCCCTCCTTCCCAGCGCCAGGCCTGCCTGAGGTGGGCACAGGGCTCTGCCTCCTGTCCCCGCCCTCTGCCTCCTGTCCTGTGTTTCCCACCTGGTCACCTCGAGGTGGTTGGAGGCTCTGCCCAGCAGACAGGTTCCTCTGGGGCCCGTCCTCTGCAAACCTGGCGCACTGGCTGGAACCCGCAGCGGACGTGGTCGTATGGAACACAGGGGGCTGTTCACAAGCCACTGTGTTTATTTTGGCCCTAATTGCTAAGCAGTCAGAGCCCCCGCAGTGGGGTCCCTCAGTAGGCAGAGAGGAAGGACCCAGAGCCAGCCTCCACCACACGTGTCTCAGCCTCGCCCTTCCGCAGAGCCTTCTGGCCCCCTAAGCCTGCTTTGTCCAAATCAGAGAGTGTTACAAGAGACAGACTCCTTACCAAATTCCTGGTCTGCTATTTTAAATAGAATACTCTGAGACCAGAGAGAGAAAGTGCTTTGCCCAAGGGCACACAGCAGAGACTTACAGAACATGAGCCCGGGCTCCAGACTCCCTGTCCAGTGCTCCTTATACCCTGCTCTCTGCCTAAGTATCTGTTCCTGGTCCAGGTGGGGCACAGGATCTGGAGGTGGCCACAGGACATCTCTGTGATGCTGGGCAGCTCACTTGGCCTCCCTGAGCCTCGGGGGTCCTCCTGTGATCAGGTGCCTCCTGTCTCTTGTGGAAAGATTAAAGACAGTCACTTCCGTGGGGCTGGCCTCCAGTTCCAAGAGCACGGGTCTCTGCATACATGTGGGTTGAAGTCAACCCCCAGCCAAGGGGACAGAGGGGTCAGCCCATCCCAGCCTCTGGTGCCAGCCATGGTCCTGGTCTCCTCATCTGGTGGGAAGCAGGAACCCAGGAAGGCGGCGTCAGGTGTGGTCATTGTGAGGGCTGTCCACGCCGTGCCAGCTGTGGTGGGGGGCCTGGATGGGACTTCTCAACCCTCACAACACGCCTGGTGTGGTTGAGCAAAACTGCCCACTGTGACAGATGAAGAGACCGAGGGCCCCAGAGGCTGAGAAACAGACGTTAAAAGGGGAGGGGCCGGGATGGAACCTGGTGTGCTGGGCTCAGCGTCCTGCCCCCCCCTCCCAGGGCAGGCTCTGGAGCAGAGGGAGGGGCCGTCCTCCTGCAGCCCCAGTTCTGGGTGGCTCTGGGCTCTGCCAAAGGGTCTGGAGAGGGGTGGGCAGCTGGGGCATCCGGAGAACCAGGGGTCCAGCCTGGCCCAATAGAGGGCGTGGCAGAGAGGAGGCCCCGAGGGAGCCCCGCTGGCTGTGCAGTCTCCAGTGCTGGCCGCTGCAGCCCCACCACACACCTTTCCCACAGTGTCCCAGGAGGGCACAGCCCCGTCCCCTCCCAGGATGCGTCAGGAGAAGCTGAGGACATGGTGGCCCAGGCACAGCCTGGCACCTCCTTTCCCTGCAGCAAAGCCAAGAAATGGCCGGGTCAGGCCCGTGGACAGAGGGCGCATGGCGTGGGGGACGCTAGTTAGGCCTGGGCTCTGGTCCTGCCTGGGCCCTAGCAGGTGCCTTGGGGCTCTGATCTGGAGTGCTCTGACCTAGCAAGCACAGGCACAGCCACACTAAGGAAATGACAGGAAGCAGCTCTGTGGAGCCACGCCCACTGAGCACAGGTGTTGCCCTTAATCTTCGCCAGGGACAGCGGGAAGGGGCTGTTCTCAATCACCACTTTAAAGTTGGAGAGAGCGAGGCTCAGAGAGGTGGGGTCATTTGCCCAAGGTCACACAGCACACAAATGGTAGCAGAGAGCTCATACCCAGGCAGGCTGGCTCCTACATCCTCACTCCTAACTCCAGGTCCCCCGGGCAAATCACTGTCCCCAGGAAGAGAATTGTTACCATCTCCTTCCTCCACACTGCAGGATGAGGCTGGCCACGGGCCCCTCCGGGTGGGGACCCAGGACTGAGGTCCCTTGTTTTGCAGGTCCACCCACCATGGAAGGCGACTGTCTGAGCTGCATGAAGTACTTAATGTTTGTTTTCAACTTCTTCATATTCGTAAGTCTGGGTCTCCTGGGTCTCTGTGGGGTGTCACAACTGCTCCTGCTTTGAACTGTCATACGGGCGGGTCCCTGGGACAGGATGGACCCTGGATGGGGCGGGAGGTGGGGGAGCTCAGGCCTGGCCACGGCCTTGGGACCTGGCCCTGTGGGGAGCGGGGGAGGGGGCTTGGTCAGGGGCCAGAGCAGGAGCCCCCTGGAGCAGACCCCGCACAGCAGAGCTGGAGGGACCCCGCAGCCACCTGATGTGCTTAGAAATCTCTCTGGGACCTGGGACCAGCGCCCACCTTCCATTCCAGCGCTGCCCCTGCCAGCTGTGTGGTTTGAAACACACCTCGCCCCTCTGAACCTCAGTATCTTCATCTGTCTTTGTGGCGTTAGGGATTGAAGCTGGGGCTCACGCAGGCTCGGCCAGCTCGACCCGGCCGCACCCCAGGCCTGCGCTGTGTTCTCTTCTGAGGCAGCAGCTCCCTGTTTCCCAGGCTGGCCTGGACACCCTCCTCTCTCGCCTCCCGGGGAGCTGCCCTGACAGCTGTGGGCCCTCCTCACCTCCTGCTGGCCCACTGCAGCGGGAGTTTGGAAAATAAAGATCCTCCGCAGCCAGCCTAGGGGCTCTGCATGGGAGGGGACAGCCTCTGAGCTCCGGGGCCGCGCGGTGTCCCCTGCCAGCTCCCTGAGCACTCCCCGCCTCTGCCCGGGGCCTGGCCCAGGGGACCTGCCTGACCCACCCTCCTTCCTCCCCGGGCAGCTGGGAGGCACCTGCCTGCTGGGCGTGGGCATCTGGGTCATGGTGGACCCCACCGGCTTCCGGGAGGTGGTGGCGGCCAACCCCCTGCTCTTCACCGGGGCCTACGTCCTGCTGGCCATGGGCGGCCTGCTCTTCCTCCTCGGCTTCCTGGGCTGCTGCGGGGCCGTCCGCGAGAACAAGTGTCTGCTGCTGTTTGTGAGTAGCCCTTCGCCACATGTCACCATGGGTGCTCTGGGGCGGGAGGTGGGCTCCAGGCCACCTGGACCAAGTCCTTCTCACTCCCGGGACCAGCGCCATGGGCACCTCCAGCCCCTCTCACTGTGTATCTGATGTCCCGTGACTGGCCCAGAGTCCCCCAGGGAGTTGGTGGCAGAGGGTTCAGGAGTGAGATCTCAGGCCAGGGGTCCTGTGCTGGCCAGGTGCCTCCCCCCGTGCCTCTACGGGCTTCTCCCAAGGAGCCAAGCCAGGGCCCCTGACCAGCGCACACCCACCGTGTCCATGCTCCAGGTGCCTCGGGGACTGTCCGGGAACAGGGTGGCCCTCACCTGTGCCCCTCACTTTTGCGGTCCTGGCTCCCGGAGCCTGCTGTTTGTGCCAGGCTCGTGCCTGCAGTTTGGGTACACGGCCCCAGTTAGAGAGTGGCCTTGGCCTCTGGGGCCAGGAGAACGTCCACATCATCCAGGATGTTTCTCTCTCTCTCTCTCTCTCTCTCTCTCGGGTACTAGGGATGAAACCCAGAGGTGCTTAACCACCGAGCCATACCCCTGCCCTTTTTTTAAAAAAATATATATGTATCTTATTTTGAGACAGGGTCTTGCTAAGTTGCTCAGAACCTCACTAAGTTGCTGAGGCTGGCTTTCAACTTGTGATCCTCCTGCCTCAGCCTCCCGAGCAGCTGGGATTACAGGCACATGTCCCTGCGCCCGGCTCATGACGTTTCTCTTTATTTTCTTTCAAAGATTCTAATACATAGCTCCTTAGTACCTAGCTATGGAGGACTCCTTCACCTTTCAGATAACCCAAGCCGAGAATAGATGGCAGAGTTTCTGGAGGGTTCTGACTACTTGTTAAATAGTCCTGTCCTCCTATGGTGGTTGTGCAGCTCACTTGGGGCTGAGGATGCGTGGGGGCTGGGGGCAGCATCCCCTCCTTCCTGGCCGGGATTGATGGCAGACAAGCCCATGAGGATGTGCCAGGCAGTCGGCAAGCCTGGGTTTGAGAGCGTGCCTGCTCCCAAGCTGTGTGACTGCAGTCTGCCTCCTTACCCTCTCTGAGCCTCAGTGTCTTGCCCAGCTGGAGGCTGGGGCCATAGGGGACAGGCGTGGACGGGTTCCTCTGGTCCTCCTGACCTCCTTACACTTGCGCTTTGGGTCTCTGCTCACTTCCTGGCCTTTGGGTCATGTCTTCCCTCCACTAGGAAATTCACTGTCCCGGGCACTAGGACAGCCTCAGGCTGAGCCCCGCCCTGCTGCAGGTCCCTGCTTGGGGTATGCGTGTGGCCACTGTGGCTGCTCTTGTGGGCAGCGGGTGACCGGTGGGGAGCCATCAAACCAGGAGGCCAGAATACGCGCTGCAGCCCACACTCACGGCACAGGGGGATGCTCCACATCCCAGAGAGGAAGTGGCACCAGCTGTGACCTGGGTGACGGGAGCTTTGGGGTCCATTGGTCATCGACCTGTAAACAAGGCAAACTGTTCATTTGAGATTAAAAAAGAAAGAAAGTTCGCGAGCGCCCCCTGCAGGAAGTTCCCGGCCGCTTTAGAGGGAGCCCGAGAAGCCGGCCGCGGGGTCCCCGAGGGGCTGCAGAAAGATCCGGGTCTCCTGGGCACTTACCTCCCCGCACCTCGGCCCCCGGGGCTGCCCGCTGTTCACGGACCGGGACACGAAGCCAGCGGGCTCTCCGCTGCCATCAGGCCCTGCCACTGCCACCATTAAGCTAAATGCTCCCTGCAAACCTTCCGGCTACACCGTGTCCCCTCTGCTGGTGCCCAGGGAGAGACTGAGACTAGGGAACGGGACAGGACCTGCCACTGTCATGCTCCGAGAGGGCAGGTCTTTGCCACCCACTCCTGTCCAGCCCTGCCTCCCCTGTCCCTCCAGCTCCTCAGCCTCTCCTGTCCCTCTCTGGAACTCCCTCTCCTCCGCCCCCACCAGGCCCAGCGCACATCAGCTGGCCAGGGTGGGTCAGAGGAGGGGACACCAAGACCAGGCCTCTGTCCCTGACAGGGCATGCGCAGCCGGGAACTGACCCGGGTGGTGCAAAGTTCCCCTGAAACCAGGCAGTGTGGTCAGGGCCTGTGTGTGTGTGCAGTGTTGTGCGTGTTCACACGTGTGTGTGTGTGTGTGTGTGCGTGCGTGTGCTGCGTGTACCTGCGCAGGCCTGTGGTGTGCACGCTCCTGGGGGAGGCTCTGCATCTTCTGGAAGGTTTTCAAGAAGGTTCATGACCTAAAAAATAAGAGCTGCTTCTCTCTCCCAACCTGAAGAGGGGCACGCGTCTCCACCCCTGGAAGCTTCTGGGGTCTTCTAGAAGCCTTTGATTTCCTCCTTAACCTGCCAGGGGGGCCCGGCTGGCCTGGAAGGGGCTGTCACTTCAGGACCCTGGCTCAAAGGTCTACAGCAGGCAGCTGAGCAGCCTGTGTGCCCGGCTGAGCCCCCACAGGGCCTGGGAACAGTCAGCCTAATGAGCAGATCTCATACAGCCGCCTTCTGCACAGGCGTCGTCCCAGCACGCTGGTGGAGAAGCCTCACAGCTGAGTGCCACAGGACCTTGGCCACTGTCATGGAAGCCCTGTGCTATCCCTTTTTCCAAGTTGCCTGCCTTGGACTAGCTCGAAGATTCTTTTCAGCCCATTTATTTAAAGATCCTATGGTAAACAATATATTTTAATAAAAGCATGCTAAATCGGAGAAGAGAACAGTTGAAAGAAGAGATGAGCGTATTTAAAAGATAAACGAGCTGGATTGTATGTGAAGCATGTAACTCTGGTAAATATTTATTAGAAATGAGGACTAAAGCAGACGTCGCCCGTAGGCAGATGGTGAGAAGCTCAGAGATGCTTGAGAGTAGGGAAAATGGCCGTTTCTGTGGGCGAAGTCGTTGCTGCCCCTCCCCATCCTAAGCAAAGTGTTGTGAGCCTGGTGTTCAGGGATCGGGGCCCCTGGGTGCTCAGGCCAATGGGATAGGTCAGAGGAGCTCTAGGCAGATGAGCTCAGGGGAAGAGGTCAGGGATCCCCAGATTCCTGGTGGCCGGGCCGTGGGAAGTGGAGGAAGTTCTTCCATGCTGGACAGGAGCCAGCAGAAGTGACGTTGTCACTGATGTGATCAGAGTAGCCCTGCCCATCCCCCCGTGTGACCCATGCCCACACTCATGTCACCCTGTACCGTATGCCGACCCTGCCCCCCACGGGAGCAGTGGGAGGGAGGTCTGCCCCCTTTCCCTGGGAGCTGCCCTCCTGGTCCACAGTGGCCAGATCATTTCCTCTCCTGAGGCTGCAGCTCAGTGCAGATCCCACAAGGCTGGGGAATGTGTCTGCCTTGAAAATTTTGTTTGCCAATACCCAGCTCAGTGCCTGACCCGGGAGGTGCCCAATAATAGCCCTGGGAAGAAAGTACAGAGAGGAGACACCATCCTAGGTGTGAGAAAGAACCTGAGCTTGGCTGTGTGTCCTGGGGCTGATTACTTAACCTCTCTCAGATTCCTCATATGCAACATGGGGATAAGCACACCTCCTTCCCATCTTTAGTTTGTGATCGCCTGAGAAAATGTGGGCCTTAGCTCTGTTCCTTGTGTGAGTAGGCGCTTGGTAAATCGGAAATGAAGAGAGGCTGTCTGCCTGGAAGAGGCCCTGAAGACTATTTGCAAGTTTTAAGACCTGGATGTTCATATGGCTTCCAAGATGACGGGCCGTGAAGAGGCAGTTGAAGTCCCCGTTGTACCACTTACCAGCTGTACCAGCCTGGGCAAAGGACTGCTTCTCTCAGAGCCACACCACCATCAGTAAAATGGGGGTGCTGCTGCTAAGAGCCCTGCCTCCCGGGATGATGCGATGCTCCACGCGGGCGCTGGTGCCTGGATAGCGCATGCTCCGTCGGTGGCCGCAACTGCTGTTTTCCGGAGGTGCCCGCCAGAGCGCGGAGCTCTGTCCCCTTCCCAGCAAGAGTCCCAGCGCCCGCTGGGTCCTGAGGGTCTGGGCGCAGAGCACTTGGCCGGGATCATCTGGTCCAAGCTCGGCGAAGGCATCGCGCGCACTGGGCTGAGGGAGGAGCGCAGGGCGTGCGCAGGGCGTGCGACCCGCCTCCTCGGTGAGTTAGAGCTCTGTCGGCCACCGCTGGGAGCGTCACGGAGCATGGACACCTTTGCCAGCCCTTTTCCAGCCCCGGGACCTGCCAACAGCCAGAAGCGGACAGAGGGCGGAGGGGCCCGTGCAGAGGTGGCGCGATTCAGAGCCGGATGACCATCCTTCACCAGCCTAATGCAAGTGCCAGGACCCTGGCCAGGCGCCTCCATCACTGTCACAGGGAGGAGGGCTGTAGAGGCAGGGGACCTGCACTCGGTGGCCACTCGAACCAAGAGCTGTCCACACTCAGAGGAGTTGTGGTGGCCACAGAATGGCACTGCACCCGCCCCAGCCCAGGAGGCCCTCTGGTTAGGGAGCTCTGCTACTTGAAATTAGCCCTCCATGGCCCCAACTTTCAGGGAGTGCAGGAGCACTGTGGGGTCACCTGAGGTGCCAGGCAGGCCACATGGCTGATGGAGCCAGGTCACCCTTGGACCTGTGGGGCCATCCCTGAGCTGCCACCTCAACAGAGCAGAGGAGCAGGACGCACCCAGCAGAGAGCCAGTCGACGAGGAAAGCTGCTCAGATGTCCCGAGCTCACCCACTGGACCAGTCGTTCCCCTCCAGTGCTGCGGCAGCCATCCGGCACTGCCACGGTCACCCGGCTTTCATGACACACAACACCTGTACTGTCCCTATGTCTTTACCCGGCCCCAGCCCCAGGAAGTGGGGTGATCAGCCCACTTTATGGATGAGAAGACTGAGACTCAAAGAGGTTTGAATGACTGTCCCCAGTCACACAGACTGGGACAGACACCTGTGATGTCCTGACCTGAGCCCAGGACCCCTTGCCTCTGTCCATCCAGGATGTCCAGCACATGCTATGCTGAGGGCTTGGGGTGCCACCGCGGTGTCCGTGACAGTGTGCAAGAGCCAGTCTTGGGCACGTCAGGGATTAAATCCTGCATGAGGGTTTCCTGGTGGGGCGACAATGGCCATTGTAAGCGCCAAGGCTCCAGTCCTGCCGAGGACCGAAGGCAGGCCCTTCCTTTCTTGCGCCAGTAGCCCTCAGCCCACAACAGTGCCCAGGAGGACCAGGATCTGAGAGGCAGCAAGAGGCAAGGGCCGTTCACTCCTGGACTCACTCATCCGCCTGACAGCCGCGGGCCGGCCGGGCGCCTTCCCTGGGCACTGCGGCGCGGGGCAGTCCAGGGCAGGAAGTGCGCCCCCCCGACCTAGCGGAGAAAGGCTTCTCCCCTGGGGAGGGCGGGGCTTGCCCTGGAGTGGCAGGCAAGGAGGGCGGGGCTTTCCTGGCAGAGGCAGCCCCTCCTCCAGGGCCTTAAAACCAGAGGCACCCAGGCTAACCTGGGAAACAGCCGGAAATTCGGGGAGCCGAGCAGTTATATATCCAGCTCCCGGCCCTGGGGTTCAGATTCTGATATTCACAACACCTGGCCTCGGATCTTGCTTTTTACTTCCGCTGAAGATCCAGGAGACCTGCTTACCGCCCATGGGGACCAGAGGTGGGGGGCAGGGAAAGGTGCCTGGGGTGACGGTGGGGAAAACCAGCCTGGGATCCCCCAGGGTCGGTGTTCCCACGCTTGGATACTCCACCTGGAGGGAGCCTGAATAGGTCTCCGCAGCAGCCTCCTACCTGGGTAGGGTTGTTCAGCTCGTGCACTGCACAAAGGGACCTTCCTAAGGGGCACCATTTGCATTATTTATTTTTTTCACATTTTTATTACAACTTTGTTGATTCCAAAGATGGGCCATTGGTGTCTTTAAGACAACTGTCTAATTTGTGACAGTGCCGTTGCTGAGTCTTACGTGTTTAGCGTACCAGGTCAGTTACACAGCCGACCGGCAGGGCCTCACTGAGCGGCCATTCTGTCCCCTCCGGCCTGTGCTGAGGTCTCAGAGCCCGCCCCCTGTCCCTGCAGTTCTTCCTGTTCATCCTGATCATCTTCCTGGCGGAGCTCTCGGCGGCGGTCCTGGCCTTCATCTTCAGGGAAAACGTAGGTACCTGGCCTCCCGCCACCTGCTACCCACCAAAGGCTGGCGGCCACTCGGGGCCAGCCCGTCCTCCTCAGAGGGCCTCACGGAGCCGCGGCCTCTCATCCAGGGCTCCAGCCCAACCATGACCTGGACCCCCAGCCCCGAGGGAGGCCCCAGGGGCTCTTCCTAGACGTTTCCAGAAGGTCACAGTGTCCTGCACTCCCAAGACACCTGGTGCCAGCCAGGCCTGACCCTGGATCTCTCCCTCCCGCCCACCCAGAGGTGGCCTGTGACGGTTGCCACAGTCTGAGGAGGTTGGTGGTCATGCCTGAGCCCGGGCAGGTGTTGGGTGGCGCCCTGGCTGAGCCGGGCTGCTGTCCTCTGGGCGATGTGCCCCTGGGGGCCTAGTTTTCCCAGAGGCTCCAACGGCCAGGACATCGGCTCCCGCACTGAGTCTCTGGGCTCCTCAGCAGAGGGACCTGGACACAGAAGAGAAGGGAGAGCGGGGACAGGCAGAGGCACAGCTGGCCCCGGGGAGGAGGCCCAGAGGGGCCAGGAGGCAGCAGCCCGAGGCAGAAGTGTGCCCAGGGGCCTCTGCTGGGCAGCAGGAGGTGGTCAGCGACCTCAGGAGAATGTTTTGGGAACAAGAGACACTTCCAAGGAGCAGCCCGAGGTGGGAGGGGGGTGCAGCCCAGAGCCTGGGGGGCCATAAGCCCTCTGCTGGGGCGAGCTGCGCGGCTGAGCGAGGCTCGCAGGGTGCCCAGCTCCGGGGGTGCCAGGACGCTTGTCACACCAGTGAGCGGGTGACCACGAGGGGGGCCATGGCCCTGGGGACGTGGTGAGGCCTGCCCTGGGCTGGCAGCTGAGGAGGACCCCGGCTCTCACCCCACCCAGCAGCAGATGGGGAGGCGGGGGCGGCGGGGTCCCCAGCGCTGCTCAGGCCCTCTCCCCTCCCCCAGCTCACGCGGGAGTTCTTCACCAAGGAGCTCACCAAGCACTACCAGGGTAACAACGACACGGACGTCTTCTCCGCCACCTGGAACTCGGTCATGATCACCGTGAGTGTCCCTGCCGGGGGGGCTGCGGGCGTTTGGTCGGGGGTGGTCAGAGTCCTTCTGTCCACATGCCTGGCTGGACATCACCCCTGGGTGACAGCACTCCCCCATCCAGCCCAGCTCAGCACGGAGCACAGCCCAGACTCGGCGGGAGGCCTGTTTGCCCCTGTTGGCCTGGACACAGCCATGACCACAGCAACTGTGCATGGAGCACTTACTGGGTGCTGGGAGGCTGAATGGTCACTGCCACCCCACTGTACAGACAGGACACGGGAGGCTCGGGGAGACTGAGTGACCTTCCACAGTCACAGAGGACAGAGAGCCAGGCCACCCCCAGTCCTTCTGGCCCCTGCTCTGGGAGCCTGCCGGTCCTCTGTCCCCGGCTCTGGCTCCTGTCCGATCCACCTGCTCCCTGTTCTCCCAGTTCGGCTGCTGTGGAGTCAACGGGCCTGAAGACTTCAAATTCGCATCAATTTACCAAATGCTGGCCCAAGACAGCGAGGAGGTGCCCGAGGCCTGCTGCCGGCGGGAGCCCCAGGGGCGGAAAGGGGTCCTACTGAACAGGGATGAGTGCGTCTCGGGGAGGAGCCTGTTCATCAACACGCAGGTATGGCCCTGGGCCCGCGGAGCTGGCTGAGGGAGTCTTCCAAACAAAGTGGGGAGGACAAGAGGGAGATGAGCGTGGCCGAGGCTGGTGTGGGCATTGGGGTTGGGGTTCAGGGGTGCGTAGGAGTCTTCCGGTGTTTCTTGAGCTTGGTTTTGAAAGTTCAGGTCTGGGGAGGGGACAGACCAGAACTTCCCAGTGGGAATCTTCTTAGCCATGAACTCTATTCCACAGAAAGCTCACGTTTGTCATGTGGGAGCACCCCATGGTTCCTAGGGAGCAACCTGACTGTCCAAGGTCAGGAAAGCTTCTAGACTTCTCTTGCAACCTGAAGCCCTTTCCCTTTCCCTGTGTGTTGTGTCTGGGGAAATAGGGCCCCAGCTTTGCCCCTTCCGTGAGACACAAAATACCCGTGCCTGTCCATGTGAGTCAGCTTTCCGTGGCTGTAAGAAAATGACTGAGAACAATCAGGTTAAGGAGGAAAGGTTTCCATTTGCGGTTGGCTGGCTCCATTACTGTGATGAAGCAGCCCATCATGGCAGGAGTGTGTGGGGAGCAGAGCTGCCCCCCTCATGGCAACCGGGGAGCAAAGAGAGAGCGGCTGTGTAACAAGGCCCCTCCCCCAAGCCCAGTCCACTATGAACCCATAAACGGATGAATCCACCGATCAGATCAGAGTCCTCATGATTTGGTCCCTTCCCCAACCCACCTCTGAACATGGCTGCGTGGGAGTCCTCCACACATGAGCTTCCAAACCCTAACACCTCTGCCCCGGCCTCGTACATGCTGGTCAGGCTGGGCAGGGGACAGGAGGGGCCGAAGGGAGCTGGGCCACGCCTGTCCCTCGTGGACTGAGGCTCTCCTGGGAGAGCTCTGGAGGCCCCAGAGCCAGCAGGACCAGGAAGCCAGGCCCTTGTCCCCGTGAGGCCCCTGGTCTGGTTAGAGGAAGCCCAGGTCGGACGAGCTTCAAACAGCACAAAGGAACAGTGTGGCAGGTGACGATGGCCGTGACACAGGTAAAGCCAGGTGAGGGGCTGAAGTGGGCCTGGGGGGCCTGGCTGTGGGGTCCCAGAGGAGGAGACTGTGGAGCAGGAGCCAGAGCCCCGAGGCCGAGGAGCCTCTACAGGGGCCCAGCACCTCTCCCCTGCGTGGCCCCCGGGTGCAGGACCCAGGAGCCTCCTTTTGTCCCACACAGCCCTGCCTTCCTACGCTGGGGGAAAGGGACAAAGAAAGAATGAGGACCCTGGGATCAGGCCACCAGGAGTCTGGGGCAGCTGGGGCCGCCCTGGGATTTAGGTCCCCAGAGACCTGCGTGGGTCAGCCACAGGATTCGGGGGTCCCGTTTCCACCTCAGGCCTCCAGGTTGAGGCCCAGCCTCCCAGCCTCCCCCGCAGCCAGGCCACAGAGTTCAGGCCAACAGGAGGTGAGCAGAGGTGGTGCGGCAGTCTGAGTCTGGTCCTCCAGAGAAAGCACCGTGTCCGCCCCGGGGGATGGCAGAGCATCCAGAGGGGAGGAGCCCGGGCCACTGACAGGCCGCAGAGCAGAGCGGCCTCCCTAGTTCAGGGTCTGGAGTGACAGGTGCTCTGTGCTCTGAAGGAGCCTGGGCTGTGGGTGGCTCGTGGCCAGACTGACCTCCTTCTAGGGCCACGAGCTCCTTCTCAGGGAGGCTGCCCACGGCCCGTTCCTTCAGGGCGTCACCGGACCCGCTTCTGGACTCATCCTGTTAAGACCCCACCCACCCACCCACCAGGAGGCCAGGCACCTCCTGGCAGGGAGCAGCGTGGGTGACATGGACCCCCCCCCCCCCCCGCCGTCCCAAGGGCGTCTCTCACAGGCCAACCCTCCCTGCTGGGCTCACTGCAGGGCCCGGGGGTCTTTGGGGATAATCCTGAGGGGGAGAGCGAGGAGTCAGGCCCCAGGGGTCACCAGCAGGGCTCAGGGTCCCCAGCCCCTTGCCAGCCGCCCGGGGAAGCCTGCGAATGCCGGTTCCAAGCTGGAGAAGGGAGTTGCTGCGTCTCCGTCCCCTGGTGCTGGGTGTGCGCGCGCGCGTGGTGTGTGACGGATTGTCCCCCAGCCGTCCCAGGCACACGGGGACACCCACACCGGCTTTGCTCACTTTCCCAACTTGGGGCACGCTGAGAGGGAGGCCACTCGCAGCAGGGACCGAGCACCTGCCACACGCCACCCGTTCCAAGCGGAGCCTCACTGTGTCCCCCCTCCCGCCCTGGGAGGAAGCGCATCCAAATGGCCCGTTTTACAGACGGGCACCTGAGGCCCAGAGAGGCTGAGTGAGCAGCCAGACCTGCCCAGCGGACCAGTGGCGGGCTGGGCTGTGACCCAGGCAGGCGGGTCCCAGGCCATGTGTGGAACGTCACCTGCCACCGCTCCCCTGGCCACGGCTGCCTCCTGTCTATGCAGCCCCCTTGAAGCACCTTACGGACCCCGAGTGTGCTGGGGCGGAGGTGCCCTGGCTGTCCCTGATGGGCAGGTGGCCCGCAGCAGGCCCTCCCAGAGCTGATCCCAAGACAACCGCCTCCCCGTCTCCCTCCCCCCGGAGCAGGGCTGTGTCTTGCCGTTTGGGTTCAACACCGTGGCCTCTGGGGCTTTCCAAAGGGCCAGAGATTTCAGGTGGAACCCTGCAGGGGACAGCGGAAGACCAGGGCAGCCCTGGCCTGGCGGGGGAGTGGGTCCTGCTAGCCCCAGAGGGACCCAGCCACACTGTTCCTGACCAACTGGCCCGGGGTAGGGCCCCTGGGCTCCTCTGGGCTCCGTCCCAGTCACACAGCTGTGGCTAGGCCCCAGTGGCACTGCCAAGACAGGTCCAGGTGGGGAGACCCCCTCTCCTGGCTCCCGTCTCTGGAGTGTCCCCGCACTGCCATCTCCCAGGGCATCTGCGTGGCTGAGTACCTCCAGGCGTGGTTCCGAGGCACAGGGACCCACGAGCACCGAGGACCAGGCCACTGTGCTGGTGGGGCCCGTTCATACCTGGGTTCCAGGGGGGGCGGGGGCCTCCACTTCCCAGCTCTGGGCTCAGCCTCCGCCGGGCAGGGCAGGTCCCATGCCACTCCCCCCACCTCAGGCCCCGCTGTTGGCTCCACGTCCAGCCAACGTGGCGGGGCTCCCGGGCGGGTGTCCCCAGGTGAGGAAGGAGCGCAGTTTTGAAGGCTGGGCTGCGTTTCCTTAGGGCAGCGTCTAAAATCCAGGAATCCTCCTGCAGCCATCCAGGCAGGTAATGAGGATGGGTGTGGGAAAGAGGGACCCAGGGGGACTGCAGCCCCCAGGGAGCACCGGTCCCATGGATGGAGCAGCTGCTGGTAGGGCCATGCTGGGCCTTCTGATTTCTCAACAGCCGCAGGAGCGTGGACACCGAGGGGCAGTGCCCGGCCCTCCAGAGGCCTGGGCTGCTGGTTTTCAGCCCCGCCCTGGGGGCCGGTGGCTGGGGGGCCTCAGGGGCTGCCAGGTCTCCTGCGTCCCACCTCCTCCACCCACCGTCTAGCCCAGCAGCTGCTGAGCCCTGGGGCCACGGGCCATGACCCAGTGCTGACGCTGGCCCGGCCCCGACTGTCCCTCCTGCAGTGGCTTCACCTCTGACCCTTCCCCCCAGGGCTGCTACGCGGTGATCCTCAACACCTTTGAGACCTACGTCTACCTGGCTGGGGCCCTCGCCATCGGGGTCCTGGCCATCGAGGTAAGTGAAGGCCCCTCCCCAGGGGCCAGGCAGAGCCGGGGCGCACCCTCCGCCTCCCTGGGATCCTTGCCTGGGGGATCCCCGAGTGCGCCAAGGGGCGGTAAGCTCGGGGGCCTGCCCAGGCTGAGAGTCAACCTTGGGCTCCGGAGGTGACACTTCTGAGCCAGTGTCTGGGCGGGCAGTGGGCCCGGGTAGCACTGTCACCCCCACTCAAGGGGCAGGGTGTGTGTTTTGGGTGCTGTCTTCCAGGAGTGGGGATTGAGCCAAGGTCCCCAGGGCACACTGTGGAAGGTGACAGTGTCGCTGCTTCAGAGGACCAGCTACAGCCTGTGGTTGGGGACCAGGCCCTTCCTCGGGCGGGGCGGGGGATGTCCAGAGCCTTCTGGTCTTAGCCCGTTTACCCCCAAGTCCCAGCACCCCTCAAAAGGGGAGCGCTGCAGGCCTTGAGCCACCACTAGGTGGTGCCCCGGCCAGAGTCCAGCTCCTGGCTGTGCTTGTCCTCAGACCAGGTCCCCTGGGCCAGTTTCCTCATCTGCCCCCGCCCCCACCCCGGCAGTGTGAGGGTCAAGGGACAGGGATAGCACATCTGGGGAGGTGCAGGGACTCCGGGTGGGATCCACACACGGATCGGCACCCCACTCCCTGCCCAGCCCACGGGCCCACTGTGAGGCCGACCTTTACCATGACCCTGGCTGGCAGTGCCTCTCACCTGAGCCGCGTGGCGACGTGGCCGTGAGCTGTGGCCGAGGGCTTGTTCCCTGTGCTCCTGGAAAGAAGAGCTCTGGGCGTGGGGACCGCAGCAGCTCTGATCACAGCGGAGTCCCTGAGTCAGGGGCTCTGCCTCTCCCACCAGCCCAGGGCCCTGAGCTGTTCAGCGCTGTGCTCCTAACCCTGGGGAGGGCCAGAGCGGCCTGGCCTCTTTTTTTTTGGGGGGGGTGTACCAGGGATTGAACTCGGGGGCACTCGACCACTGAGCCCTACCCCCCGCCCTATTTTGTGTTTTATGTAGAGACAGGGTCTCCCTGAGTTGCTTAGCGCCTTGCTGTTGCGGAGGCTGGCTTTGAACTCGCGATCCTCCCCAGCTGCTGGGATGACAGGTGTGCACACCGCACCCAGCTGGCCTTTCCCCTTAATAATAGATGAGGAGCTTTTACTGAGCATCTACTAGAGGACAGGCTTCAGGATGTGGTTAGCTAATTGCCTTCCACTCCTCTCTCACTGCCCTTTGTGAGCCGGAGGCAGAGAGTGCAGGGGTCCTGAGCATGGCCCCTGGGGCCAGGAGGCCTGGATGCCAACCCTGGCTCCCCGTTTGTAGCTGTGAGACCTTAGGCAGATTATGTGACCTCTCTGTGCTTTCTGGGAAAGCACTTAGAACTGTGCCTGGCACGTGCTAAGCTGTGGTCCCATTCAGGCCCAGAGGAAGTGACCCAAAGCCACCACTGATAAGTGGGCACCTGGGTCTGAACCCATGATTTAGTTTCCAAAGTCGCCCTCCCGAGGTGACTGCCCAGGAGAACATCCGGGAACCCCTGCGCAAGAGCACCCAGAGGCAGAAGGGCCCTACCCCTGGGGTGGACTGGGCTGGGCGCCCCGGGGCCCTGGGCGCAGCCGGGCAGTCAGGTGGCTTTCTTCTTCGCAGCTCTCCGTCATGATCTTCGCCATGTGCCTCTTCCGGGGCATTCAGTAGAGGGCGTGGCCTGAGGACTGGCCCCGCCCACCAAGCCCAGCACCAGTGCCCCTCTGGGTGCCCCTGGCCCCAGGGCGGAGACGAGGCCTTCGTGGGCGGCCAGAAGGGCCAGGAGCGCACAGCTATTTTTTTTAACAAGATGAAGACAGAGATGGGGACTGACGCGCCCTCGCCTGGGCTGGGACCCCGCGCCTGACCCGGGATGCAGCAAGGCCAGGCCTCTGGGCCCAGCCGGACCAGGGCGCGCCTGGGCCTGGGCGCTCTCTCCCCACAGCTTCGCGACCTGGTGCCAAGAAAATGAGGACTCGGGCCACAAGAAGACACTGACAAAGCCCCAGAGCCCCCAGGAGACTCGGTGGCCTCACCCTCGGGGGCTCGGAACCTGGAGGGCAGTCCCTGCACTGCCAGGGGACGGAGCTGTGTCCACTGTCAACGGGGGCCAAGGTGGGCTGCTGCCAAACACTGGCTCCGGGAGTGGCCTCGCTGGCAGTCCCTCCTGTCCCCATCTGTCGGACCAAATCACCTGTGAGGCCCAGAGAGGGACTGTGGGCTGTCGCGTCACACAGCACACGTGTGGTGGTTCTGAACAAGAACCTGCCTCCTCTCTGAGGTGCGTCTCTCCATCCGGGACACCATGGGATCCGCTGCTCACATACCCTCTGGCTCAGGATCCTGGTTTCCCAGGAAACATGGGCCGAGCTGCCAGGAAATGCCCCCTCCCGGCTCTGCAGCTAAGAAGTGGATCGCTGTCCCCCTTTCCCTCACCTCCCCACTTCTCCACCAGCCCCCTGCCATGGACACACAGCGCTTCCCCTGGGGCACACTGCCCACCTCTCCCCACAGGCTCCTCCTCCCTGTCCATCCCCAACTCCCTGGCCCCAGGATGAAAGAAACCCCCCAAATCTTCTGGTTCTCCCGGTTCCCACCCAGAATGGAGGCTTGGATATGTTCTGCAAGACTCCTGCCAAGAATTCTCCACCCTCTTCTTGCATACCTCCAGGGACAGGGAGGTCACTACCTCCCCCGCAGCCTTTGCACTGCTCCCACCCCAGTCAGCTCGACAGACAGAACAGGCTTCTGCTTTCCTCTGGTTCTGTCTGTGCGTCCCACTTGCTCCTTGCCCTTCCTGAGGGTCAAGTTCACACACTGGCTCCCAGAAGCCCTCTTGTCTGTAGGCTAAAGAGCCCCTCAGGCATCTCAGCCATTTCTGCTGCAACACAGTGTCCCGTCCTTCTATTGTCCACGTGATACTTCTGTGTCCCCCCCAGGCTGCAGCAGAGATTCCCCCCCCCCACAACCTCACATCTGTACAGGCGTCACATTCCAAATCAGTGTTGGCAAGTAGATGGCAAGATGCCTGGCCAGCCCCAGCCCAGCCTCACCTGAGACAGGGCCAGGGCCAGGGGCCTGCCTGCTCTGGACCTGCCCAGCCCTCAGCCCCAGCTTCCCGGAAGGCAGACGGCTGGCCCGGGTTGACCAGAAATCCCACGTCTAGGCTGGACAGCCCGGGTCCAGGGGCACCCCAAGCCTCCAGGGCCCATAAGAGTGAGGGTGTCGATGAAGGGCAGATCAGGAGGGGCATGTGGCCCAGGCGGGCCCAGAGTGGCTCCGAGACTCCTCCCCAAGGGCTTTCTGTAAAAGTGCCGAGGAGCCTGTCCACCCCCACACGACTCCCTGCCCTCTGCACCTCTGAGCTTGAAGGGGACACAGGGTTTCTGTCCCTGTGGCATCTGCTCAGGCTGGTAACAATCTGCAAGATCCCCTGAAGTCACCGTCAGGGTCTGGTAGACACTCAGCCCCCGCCGGGGCAAGAGCTATGGCACCAAGGACCCTGTGAGTGTGGCCCAGCTGCCGAGCCTGATCTGTGGGCAGGGTCAGGTCGTCTGGGCTTCTCCAGAACAGCCCAGCTGAGACTGTCCCCGACTGAGCCAGCAGCAAGGTGGCCCCTGCCCATGCTGAGCCTCCCCCCACCCTTGTTAGTGCCCAGCCTGCTTCGGGGGCCCAAGGGGCCCAGACCCGACGGCCCCAACCAGCCAGGGTGGTGGCCGCCCCTCTGCCCAGCAGCCCCCCTCCCTTGCTCTGTGGGTCGCATGTTGAAGGTCTGTTTTGAGATCCACAGAGCTGTCACCATCCCCCGTGAGCCCCTTTTGTGCCGCGCCTCAGGAGGAGTTTGTGACAGAGAACAGGACGCCGCGGAGGGTTTTGCACTGGTTTTTGTGACTGTTTCTTACAAAAAGAAAAAGGAACAAAGAATAAATAGTGACCGTGAAGAATGGGGGTGACTCGGAGGGGCCTGGGCCGGGCGGGGCTGGAGGGCAGGGGCTGCAGGTACCCCCAGCTCGAAGGCAGACGCCCCCGGCTTCCCTCCTGAGACCCGGGGCCCCCACCCCCTGCCCTGTCATGGCCTCCTTCCCAGCCACACGTCATCCCCGTGTTGATGTCCCCCCAACCTGCTGCCCCCAAGCCACACAGACCTCCTGTGAGCCGCGCCCTCGCCCGGCTCCCCGGGCTCAGTGCGATGTGTGACTAGGGCCGTGTGACCCACCGCGCCACCCCCAGGGCAAGGCCGGCTGCCCTCCGCACCCCGCAGCCCAGTGTCTCCGACCGGTGGCCCCCACCATGTAGATGCCACGGCGTCCTGACTGCAGCGAGGGCTTCCGTCTCCCCAGAGGGATGGGACCCACATGTCCAGCAGCTATGGGGAGGACAGGCCAGCTGTCACCACTGGGGATCAGCTGGGTCTTCAAAGGTCCTTGCAGACAGGGCGGAGCTCCGGCTGCAGGCGGGGGCACCTTCCCTGGGCGGCAGCGGGTGGCAGGGGCTCCTAGGCCCGGGCTCCAGACTCAGCGCAGGAGGTGGGAGGTGGGACACCCAAGGGCCAGGGCCAGCTGACTGGGGAGGGTGCCCACTCAGAGCGCCCTCCCACACCGCCAGGCCATGATGACCAGCAGCACAGCCCAGCCACCAGCAGGCCCCTCTCCTCAGCTACGTAACCGGGTACAGCCACCACTCTGCTGGACACAGGCCACCGGGTGTGTGGCTGCAGGGACACTAGGCACAGACTGGGCAGGAGAGGGTCCCCAGGCAGAGGGGCACCTGCAACCATCTCTGTGGCAGCAGCTGGACTGACCGCACCTGCAGGCCACCTCACCTACTGCCAACCCTGCTGTCCCCAGAAGGGAGGCAGGCTGGCCCGGGGCTGGGGCTCTGCACACCTGTCCCTGGGACATTGCCACCACTCCTCAGGCAGCCTGTGTGCTGCAGGGGCGGGGGCGAGGACTAACAGGACACGGCAGAGGACGGTGGCCCGCAGGAACCAGACCAGGCCCTACAGCTCCAGGGGCCACTGACAGCCGTCTCCAGGGCGATGTGGGGAGGAGGGGGAGGTGACAGGAGGCTGGAAAGCTACTACTGCCCCTGCAGAGCCTGAGGGGCACCGAGCCCCACCCAGCCACGCTAGGGGCAGCCAGGGGCCAGGCAGCAGCACCCTGGGGAAGGAGCGGGGGACAGGGGGTGGGACAGGGGACACTAGACCTGGAGGACATGCCAAGGGACAAGGAGATACCAAGTGTTTTCTTCCTCGTTTCTGAGCCCACAGCTTACGAGTCCGTGTGTCCATCTGTGTACACAGGACATGGGCAGAGTGCCCAGAGCAAGGCCCCCGAGACCCAGGTGGACCAGGCCTGGGGAGGGGCCAGAGCGTCCAGCGGCAGGTGGCCCATCCTCGTAGGAAGCTCAGAGACAGCCGCCCGCCTGGCCCTCGGCGGGGCTGCGTGCTCAGGTGCAGGAGGGCCTGGACTGAGGGTCACTGGCCAGGGTCAGGTTCTCAGCTTTTCCAGGCACAGAGAGAAGTCAGGTTCAGCTGCTCGGGCCCTAGATGGGTGGGGTCAGGGGGGTGGCAGCCCACAGCCTCTCCCACGGGAGGGGGGCTTCCCTGGGGAGGAGCCCAGTCAGCCCTCGCTGCTGTGACCACGATCCTCAGCTGGTGCCTGTCCAGGGGACCTGGGGGCCAAGAGTGCCCAGGGAAGGAGGTGCTACTGTGTGCGGTGAGGAGTGGGGTACACAGGCCCCATCTCCCCCAAGCTGGCACGTCAGACCCAAAGGCCAGAGGTCACCACATCTGGGACTTCCCGGGAGAGAAGAAAGGGGCCACCGGCTGCCTGGGGTGGCTGGGTAGGAGCAGGGCTGCCCCCTGCCTTCCAGGAGCCAAAGGGGAACGGCCCCACAGCCACCCTGGCCAGGCCCGGCAGGTCCCCTGGCCGGCTAGACTTTCTTGGGTTTCCGGCCGACTTGGTAGTAGTAGTAGATGCTGATGACCACAAAGAGCAGGCGGCTGGCCAGGAGCAGCAGGATCCCCAGGGACATGAGGCCCGTCTCGGCCAGCGTGGCAGTGACCACTGAGGGAGGAAGGCCAGGGAGGGGTCAGAGGTCAGGGGGAGGATGTGTGCCCCCTGCACACAGGACTCCGGACTGAGCCAGCTCTGTGCCCGGGGTCCTGCACCACTGTCCCCTCCTTCCTCCCCCCAGGCAGGTGCCCTTGCTTTCCTGCCAGCCCCAGAGCTGCCCCCGCGCCTCCCGCGTCTCCCACACTGTCCACCTCGACACTCACCCAAGAACTGCACCCCGAAGTAGCAGGCCTCGGTGAGCAGGGTCCACCGAATGATGACCTTCTCCGCCGTGTAGAGGGCATTCCACATGATCAGGGAGATGCCTGGACGGGGACAGGGAGCAGGGGAGTGGGGACAGCCTGATCCACCTGCCCCGGGGGCCGGGCAGGGGCCTGCTCCTCCTACCCGGGCCCCCTGCAGACGACCAGACCTAGAGGTCCCCACCCCAGCCCTGCTCACTCGCAGGTCGAAACCCATCTGCGCCCAGCCCATGCCCTCTGGGTCCAGATCTGCTCATGCCATTTCCAAGGCCCTGTGGGACACTGAGCCAACACTGTCCCTTGCTGGGACTCAGCCTTCAACTGCAAATGGGAGGGAAGCTCCAGACCTGGGCCTGCGTCTCCCTCAGTCCTGCGTTGATGGAATCCGTTCCTGCCGCCCTGGGCCCTCGCATGCTCTGCACCCCCAACTCCCACCAGAGCCCTCTCTGTGCGAAGGCGGTGCCGCCCCACCCCCACACTCCCCCTCAGTCCCCCCCTCAGGGGGGCATGTGCAAGGACACGGTGGCTTCTGAAACTGGGGAGTGGGCACCATCAGCTGTGGCTGGAGCCCAGGGCCCCTGGCAGGATGGGGGAGAGGCAGATAGAGGGAGCCGGCTGGACCCTGAATGTCAGGCAGAGTCACCAGGGCTTTATTCTGCAGGCGATAGGGAGCCATAGCATGTTTCAGGGAAGGGAGGGACGCCACCGATGCCGAGCTTTGAAAACTGCAGTTCACCTTCCTAACGGCCAGCCAGCCGCAGTGAGCGACTCAGATTAGAGGGAGCAGAGCAGGTTCCTTGTCTCCGCATCCCAGTGCCCAGGGGGCCGCGGGGCAGACACCAATCCTGGCGCATCCCACCCGTGGCCACAAGATGGCAGCACACACCCAGCAGACGCACCACAGGTTGGGCAGCTGCGGCAGCCAGCGAGGGAAGAAGGGCCCGCAGTGCAGGGGAAGGTCCCCTGGTGTTCCCTCAGCCCAGCTGGGTCTCACCTCCCACCCCCCGAATACTCACTGAGGAGGGCGCCACCGTACAGGCGGATGGGGGTCTTGCTCGTGACCTGGGCTCCATCAAAGACCGCATCATAGAGCTGGTCAGGGAAGGCCAGGGCCTGTGGACAGCAGGGGGGCTCCAAGGTCAGGCTCAGGGAGGGGGCGTACCCCCTGGACTGGGGCCAGTGTCCTCGGGGCAGTTCAGGGTCAGGACCACGACTGCCCCATCCTCCACAGGAGGGAGGGAGGCTCTGGGGCTCCCGGGGCAAGGAGCTGGGCTGCAGCCCATGGGATGGGGTGGGGACAGGTGGGGACAGGCCTGGGGAGACACCAGAAAGCCCTCCCAGGGCCAGCATGATGGCAGCATGGGGACAGGCTGCCAGGGGCTGGCAGGAGGAGCCCCTGGGAGGGCAGGAAGAGGCCAGGAGCCACACCCAGGGCCCGAGTCTAGTTCTGGGTCCTGCGGTCCAGCCAATGGGGAAGCCAAGTGGCAGAGGGACAGGGCGGTTCGACTCACCATGATGGCAATGCCCGAGAAGAGCACAGCAGAGACAAACTGCCAAACCCTGGAGACAGGAGAGCAAGGTCACACCCGGACCCCCAAGGTCAGCCCGGGCGGGCCCCAGGGGACTCCCCTTTCCAGCCTAGATGCCCAGTAATGGCTGGGTGAGGGGACAGGCCACACGATGGGATGGAACAGGGGCAAGAAGACGCAGGGCCAAGGCCACACAAGGGGGTCTTCCACACTTCCCCCGACACACAGACCCCGTCCCCACAAACGACAGGGCTGAGGCTCACCTGAGCCCCAAAGGCTCGCGGACAGCAAACTTGATCTCATTGCCCAAGACCTGGCTGATCTGTGGACAAGGGAGGGGTCGGGGGGACAGCTCTCAGCACCGCAGCTGCGGGTCCTCCGGGCACACTCAGGAGCCCACCTGGGTACCTCTGCTTGGCAAAAGGCTCCCCCAGAGCTGGGCGGGTCACACTGAGGCTGCCCGCCCCCCGCACTGCCTTGGCACTGGGTTTAAAGTTGAAGGTAAAGTGGTAAGAAGGGAGGCTCAGCTGGAATCCCAGAGAACCAGGAGGCCGAGGCAGGAGGATCGCAAGTTCAAGGCCAGCCTCGGCGACTTAGTCAGACCCTCTCAAAACCAAAAGTAAAGTATAAAGCACCCCTGGATTCAATCCCCAGTACCCAAAACAAACAAAACAAAATAAAAACTTAAAAATGGACGCTCCTGCCACTTGTGGTTGTGGCCTCAAGAAAGCGGCTCACCCTCTCTGACCTATCTGACCCCACCCCCCGGGGCCGCCATCCATGCCACTCTGATCCCAGCAAACCGCCCTCCCTGTGGTCACTAGTCCTGCCACCTCCCTTAGGTCTCTAACTGCACCGGGCCCCAGTCTCCTGCCCTCCCCTTCCCGGGGCGGGCGCTCAGCGGCCGGTGGCGCAGGCCCACCTTGGAGCGGTGCACCTCGCCGTCGTCGTCCTCCCCGCCCACGCCCAGGATCTTGCGGGTCTTCAGGCGGCTCACGAGGTCCGTCTGGCTGTGCTTCTTCATGAGGGGTGGGGGCTGCTTGGCCGCCATGGTGTCCTTGACCCGGCTTCTGCAGGGGGCTGCGGGAGACACTGGCCTCAGGCCTCGGCACCTGCGCAGCTTCGACAGCAGGGGAGGCCACGCCCCCGGGCCCGGGAGCTGACCGCGCAGGCGGCCTCGGCGGGCCCATCTGTACAATGGGTGCGGGGCGCTGCTGAGGCCGCCTCTGCGAGCTGTCGGACCTGAGTGGCCACGGCAGCCCACCGGTGAGGGCTGGGCCAGGCGAAGGCAGTCAGGCCCGGGTGGAGCCACTGCCCTCGGAGCCTGGGCCAGGAGGTCAAACGAGGCTCCAAAGAGGGGACACGTGCCCAACCCGGGAGGGTTTCTGAGTCCAGGGCCATGCTGACTGCCCAGGCGATCCCACCACACGGCTAGCCTCGTCCCCAGCCTCCAGACAACCTCCTGACACCCCAGGACCCGAGGAGGGGGAGGGGCGTCCGTCCAGGGGGCACCGTGCAGTCAGGGGAAGGAGGTTGGCAGGTGCCCTGCCCAGGCCTTGCCCCCCCCACCAACACCCCCGGCCCTCTGTCACCCCACAGCTCCCACAATCTGCCACCCCTCCAATCCCAGCCACCTCCGGCTGGTCTTGACCACCTACTGTGAGCCCGGCGCTGGGCTGGGCGCTGGAGGTCGGGGATGGGCTGCTCCGGTTCTTGGTCCTGTCAGCAGCTGGCACCGTCTACACAGGAGACAGGAGTGTCGTGAGGAAAGGAGAAAGCCCCCGGCTGGCCCCCGGTGGCCCTGGGCGCCTTCAATCACAGCCACCCTGCAAGAGGGGCACTACTTATACCCACTCTGCGGATGAGGAAACCACGGTGTCCCCAAGACCACGCTGAAGGACAGTGGTGCCCCCACGTGCCCTGGATATCCTGGCTCCTCATTTCCACCCGCGGCCACCCCGGCACGGCAAGAGAGCTCCGAGGCCACCATCCCTCCTCCAGAGCACCGGCTGTCCAGGGCTGAGTGACCCAGGGCTGCAGGAAGGGACTGAGGAATGTCCCCAGGCTTGAGTCCCTCATGAGTCTGCCAATGTCCTCAACAGGACCAACACCCAGAGCGCCGTCAGGACAGAGTCCCCTGGGGCACAGGAGTCGGGGGCTCTGCGCGGGATACATAGAGTGTCTCCTGGGCTGTGTCCAGGAGGGACGGAGGACGGCAGAGCAGGGGTCTGTGGTGGGTGTGACAGCTGGGTCACAGGCCCCCTGAGCCCTGGCCGAGGCCCTCACCTAGGGAATGGGGGTGGTTCTCCTTTTCTCCCTTGCCCTGGGGACATGGGAAAGAGCTCAGGGACCTCCAGGGAGCCCGTGCCCCTCAGAGGGTCCACATCAACCTCAGCCCTGGCCACCACCTTCTGCGAATCCAGACAGAAACTGTAAAGAGCGTCCCTCCCGCCACCAGGCCTGGCTGCCCACAGGAGCCAGCGGGAGGCAGGGGGCAGAGCCTGGTGCCCTGGCCTGTCCCTCGTGGAAGGATGCTCCCAGGTCGCCTGGCCCTGGCCATCCCGTCTGGACACTATAGCAACTTTTTTGCTGTGTGACTGCGTGGGTTTTAGTCCCTGAGTCACTCACGGAGCTGCCACCTCCACCAGGTCACTACCCCAACTCCTCCCCCGCCACAGCCTCCCAGCACCTGGGCTCTGTTCTGCCACTCTCCCTGCGACTGGTTTTCTCCACGGGGGACAGAAACACTGCACATGACCTTGGGAGCCAGCTCTGGCCCCGGGGGTGACGCCCTGGGCTCCTCGGCCCTGCTTGTCAGGGAGAAGGTGGCCCGGGTTTGGGCAGGACCACACATTTTCACGTCCCTAAGGTGAATGAGCAGGCGAATGAGCCTGAATGCTCAGGGCAGGTCTGCGTGGAAGTCTAAGACGAAGTGCCACCTGGTTCCCAGAGCAGGCGTGCCCCAGTGTCCCCTGGCCAGAGCCTCCATGTCCCCCCAATGGCAGCCGTCAGTGTTGGCCGTCCCCCTTCTTCCAGGTGGCCCTGGAGTCCCAACCCCTCTCACCAAGGAGGCAGGACAGGCCACCCGATGACAATGGATGACAATGGCACAGTCCTGCTGTGCCCTGCTGTGGCCCTGGGCAAGATGTCCCCCCACCTTGAAGTGGGGCTCCAAGTCCCACCTCCCAGGACCTCGGGGCAGAGAGACTCCCCCACCCCTGAGCAGCACTGGGTGGGGCCGGCCTTGAGCCAGACCTGGGGTAGGACAGGCCCTGCCCTGAGGGGGCACCCAGCCTCCGTGGGAGGGGCTGAGCCTCAACGACTGGCTCCAGGGAGTCGCAGTGCTCTCATCTGTGAAATGGGAACAACCCCCTACTTTTTTCCTGTAAATGGCCAAAGCAGGGGCAGAACGGCTTCTCCAAAAGCCCCAAACTGCCACAGCAGGGGCCGTGGCTAAGGGCTTAACTGCTCAAGTCATTTTCCAATCCCAATCCACACTTCTTAGCTGTGCGCCTATGGGAAAGTCACTTAACCTCTCTGTACCTCAGTCTAGCTATCCGTCCTTGGGTAAAGAAGGGGCCCTACCTCACAGGGAAGTTTTGAGAATAAAAGACACCTGGCACCTTAAAATGCTGCGGGCCCCTGTCCGCCCTCCACCCTGGGCACCCCAGGCAAACACCGGTTTGGGGGCCAGCAGCGCTGGGTGTGAATCTCGGCTGCGTCTTCTAACCAGCTGTGTGGCATCGGGCAGGTCACTACAGCGGCTCCCCGTGAGGTGGGGTCTTAAGAATGCCACCATGCTACGCGGCAAAGTAGAAGAAAAAATAGTGAACGAATCGATTTTTAAAAAAGAAGAGCCCGAGGGCAGAGGGAGGAAGCAGCAGGTGTCTGCGGGCCTCCTGATGGGGAGAGGCTGAGGGAGGCCGAGGGAGGCTGGGCCCGCCGGCCACTTCCCCCCCTCCACTCAGCCGTGCAGTGGAAAGCCGAGGCCGAGGGAGGCTGGGCCCGCCTGTCCCACTGGACACCTCTGAAGCCCGGGCTTCCCCGCAGCAGGCTGGGGCTGGGCAGGGCAGGCCGCCCTCCGCCCACTAGCGCGGCTGCCTAGAGCAGAAGGGCTTGTGGCCACAGACCGCCTCCGAGCCAGCCTCTGAGCCTGCCACCCGGGGTCCCTTGTCCCCATGCTCCTTGCTCCTGAAGGCCACCACTGCCTGGCTCTCCTCTAGGGGTCTCCCCTAGGGTCCAGTGTCCTCCCCTCCTGGCCACTGGCCCCTCGCAGCTTGTGTCCTCAGGGGCTTAGCGGCAGGCTGTGCGGTTCCCCAAAAGGGAACCATTGGAGCCCCGAGGTCTCGTGCTCCTGTGACTCTGGCTAGGCTGGGGCGCACCCTAGGTGCACAGTAGGCGCTCTGTCGGCAGCCAGGACACTCCGCATCTGGGTGGCCTGAGGGACAGGGGCTCTGCCAAGCACGCCCAAGGCCCCACAGGTGAGAGGCCACCCAGACACGGCAGGCTGGTGGCCCAGGGCAGGAAGGCAGCTTGGCCATGGGGCAGAACTGGGTTCCAGGCTGACTCGTCCCTGTGGGTCAAGTGGCCTTGGACAGGACACATGGGACTCATTCGCCAGTGCAAATGTCCCGTGCAGAGGGCCATGGGGGGGGGGGGGGCCGGGGCGATGGCGGGGGGGGGGGGCGGGGTGAGGACCCTGGGCCCCACCTCAGCAAGCTGTGGCCAGTGCAGGAAGGTGAGCGAGCGACTCGGGCACCAGTCTGTCACTTCTATTCCCTGGCCCAGGACAGCGCCTGGCACGCGAGGGGCCCCGCCATTTTGGGGCTTGGATTCAGGAGCAGGAGGGGCCGGGCTGGGTGTGGCTCAGAGGCAGAGGCCCCCAGCCCTTCAAGACCTGGGTTCAATCCCACTCGGGATCACAAGTAAACAAAAGAGGGGGAGGGACAATGCAGTCCCCCTAAGGCCCCGTCCTACCCCCACCCACTGGGACCTCTGAGCACCCAAACAGGAGTCTCCAAACAGCGCTCACTGGCAGTAAGCAGAATTGGGTGAAGTCCCCAGAGTGTGAAGCAGGCCAGGAAGAGAGGGGTTCATCTGGGGGTGTGTCAACAGAGAATGACAGAGTCGGGAGGGGAGCATGTTCTTAATGACCAGAAAAACTAGGGCTCAAAGCCCAACTCTTTCTCTAAAATGCTCTGTGATCTCAGGAAAGTTACTTAACCACTCTGAACCTCCACGATCTCATCTGTGAAACCTGATTACTGCGTCCACCCGGCTCACAGGTTCAAGATGCAGGAGAATGAGAACAAGCAGCCCAGGGCCTGGCACCCGGTATGTGCTCCACAGAGGAGAGTAATTAATCATTAACAGGCACCAGCCCGGGCTCAGCCCTGGGCCGCAGATCAGATGGGGCATCGTCCCTATGAAGGTCCTGGAGGACTTCCCCAACTTCCCCGTGTCCTTCCCGGGAAGCCTGGTTTCCATAGAAACGGATGGACTGCAGAGCTGTCCCGACTTGGAGACCTGGAGACCGAGCCCGTGAGGGCTGGCTGGCGGGGCGGAGGGGCAGGGACCTGGAACACCACTAGCTGCAGCTCTGGAGACTCAAGGGGAAGTCGCTCGGCCGAGCTCCTCCGCCAGGGGCCACTTCCTCTCCAAACCGGGCTCCGTTACAGCGTAACTGTCCCTCCCCATCTGTGGGGAGAGCGGGCGGCAGGCAGCTGCGCCAGGCTGGGGGAAGGGCACAGTCCAGGGCAGGAACCCCAGAATCGCCCCAAGTCACCCCCATTTTACAGATGAGAAAACTAAGGCCAGAGGGACTTACGTAAGTGTCCCTTGAGGTAAGTGGCAGAGCTGGAGTCAAACCAAGGGAACCACATCCTGAGAGGCGTGTGTGCGTGTGCGCGCGCGCGCGCGCGTGTGTGTGTGTGTGTGTGTGTGTGTGTGTGTGAGAGAGAGAGAGAGAGAGAGAGAGAGAGAGAGAGAGAGATGGGGGAGGGGGACTTCGGTGAGCTCCACCCCAGAACGAAGCTGGGGCCCTCTCGCTGTGGTCCCTGCCCTTGAGAGCACTGGTGTCCCCAGTGTCTGAGCTCCCCCTGGGTCCCGCCTCTCTGGGTTCAGGCCCTGGGGTGACCACAGCAGGTCCTGGGCAGGGCTGCCACTTGGAACCCATTGTTGGGCTATCACACTGGGACCAATAGCTGGAAATGGGGTCTGGGGCAGGGCAGCCGCGAGGTGGAGCCCTGGGCGCTGGGCAGGGCTGGCAGAGGGCTGTGCTGGTCGGGGTGGGCTGGGGGCGCCCTTGGCCTGCTTCATCCTGGCCCCTGCAGGACCGCCAGCTGCTGGGGCCAGATGCCCCCCGCCCGGCCAGGGCACAGTGACCCGCCTCTCCAGGGCTGTCCTGGAGGACAGGAAGCCTGACCACAAGGCTGTCCTGGGGTTGGTCACAGGAGGCAGAAGAGGTGTCACCTGGGGGCCTGCGTTACTGACCCCAGCACAGAGGCCTCTGGGGTGCAGATCTTGGGGGGGTCCTCGGGACGTGGGCTAAGGAGACACGGCAGGGCTGCAGGAGGCTTCTGTGGTCTGTGGGTCCCTGGAGAGTGGCCTGTCCCCATGGGCCTGTCCCCGCAGCAGAGGGCGGGTTGCCATCCACCTCTCCGGGTCTCAGCGCCCCCACTGGCCTCAGTGGCCTGCTGCCCCCAAAGTGGGGGCCATACAGAGGACCAGCAGGACAGCAGAGGGGAGACGGGGCCACCTCTGGCAGGACTTTGCCCCCCCCAAAGACAAGGAAAGGACCCCGAGACCCTCCAGGAACGTGAGCCCTGGGCGCCGCAGCACAGGGCTCACCTGCCACCAGGAGCTGGCACGGGCCCTGTCACTGTGCCGAGCTCACACCAGACTCCGCTGCCCGGGAAGCCAGGGCCTGTCCTGGGACCCAGCGTCCTTGTCTTCAAGAGTGGCCGTCAGGTCTCCAGACGCTGCGAAGGTTTGTGCCTCCTGAGGGCCACTCTCCGGCCACCCACATCCATCTGCCCCACAGGCCAGGCTCCAGCTGCCCTGCCCGGCCCCACGGCCCACCACCTCAGGCCACCGAATGTCCTCGTTCCACGCCGCCCAGGTCAGGAAGGCCGAGGCAAACCGCAGCTTTTCTTATAAACATGCCCGAAGCTTTGGGGACAAAACCATCAAAACATTCCCCACTGCGCTGGGGGGCGGGGGGCGGGGGGAGCAGGGCAGGACAGGGCCGCATCCCGGGCTGCCCCAGCTGCTGCTGTGTGGGAGGGAGGGCCAACCCTCTGGTGGCCACCGTCACCACTGGGAAGTCACCGAGAGGGCCTCTCCTGTCTCCACGGTCACTGGCAAAGGCAGCGTGTGGGGACGATTCCTGTCCTCTTCAACCCAGAGTGGGCCTGCCTCCCGCTTGGCCTGGTGACCCTGCCAGGGCCCCTGAGGGCAGCCAGTGCTGTTACTGGCACAGCTGGGCCCCGGGTCCCACGGGCCGGGGCCTCCCTCCCCCATGAGGCTGCTCAGGACCTTGGCCAGGGAGGAGGCTACAGAGGACAGGAAAGCGGGGCTTCCTGAAGGGGCGCTCAGCCCCTGGAGGCCGCTCTCCCAGAGGTGATGTGCATTCTGGGTAAGCAGGCAGACAGGTCCCCGCGGCTTCCAGGAATGGGTCTACCCAACACCAAGGGCCGGAGCTTAGCAGTTAAAGGCAGAGATCACCACACAAAGGCTGGTGCTGACATCCTGGCCCTGCCACCTACTGGCTGCGGGATTTGGGGCCAGGAACAGGCTGTCCGGACCTCAGTTTCCACACCTGTTAAATGGGTGCAGGGATGATACCCACCTCCCTGCTGGTAGGATGCACAGAGCCGTCTAGAACAGGTCAGCCTTGCAGACCATACTTGGTAACAATGCCCTTGTTGTGTTCGGAGGGGTGCTCCCCTTCTTTGCCTGTTTCTCCCTCAACCAAAGCAGCTTCAGAGATGCCATGAGAGGGGGTGGCCACAGGGAAGAAGCAGAAGTGGCTTTTATGTATCATCTCTGATCTCCCACATTCCCTCATCTGCAAAAAAAGGGGGGTGTGCTCCCACCCTTCCTGGCTGGCTTGCCTCCTCTCCTCTCCCAGCCCCTCAGTCCACCCCAGCCCCTGTTTCTGTGTTTCTGCCACAGGCCCCTTGCACCAGCCTGCCCTGTGGGATCTTTCCTTCCCACGGCTGTCTGCCCAGCTCACTTCCTCAAAGCTGAGGCTCAACAGTGAGCTGCCCCTGGGAAGGCCCATCTGACCACGGAGGTCTGTGTCTATTTTAATGTCAATGCCACCCCCAGCCTCCAGGCCACGCCCCTCCCCACGGTCCCCCTCACCTCCCAGTGCACCATAGAAACTCTTTATTAGTATTTGCCTCCCCCACCCTGAAGGGTCAGCTCCAGGCCAGGCATCTTCGTTTGGTCCCCGGCTGTCTCCCCAGGTGGCTGCAAATGTGCTGGGCTTTGCTCAATAAATAATTTGGGGCGTAGTGTTTGCAACGTGTTGTTCAAAGTGAAGAGCACCCCAAGAAGGCTGTGTGGGTGTGCTGGGAATCCCCTGCTGCCCCACCCAGGAAGGCGGCCCCTCCTCCTGCCGAGCTGGAGGCCCGGGAGCCGGGCAGGGGAGGGGAGGGGAGGCGGCCGGAGAAGCTGCAGGGGTCCGGGGCAGGGCTCTGCCGGGAACAAGTGGGCCCCACCCCACCTTTGGAAATCGTGACGCCTCTAACAGCTGCGGGCACAAAAGAAACCGGGCAGCTGGCTCCTGAGACGCTGAGGCCGAGGGGACGTCGGGGGCAGCGCTCCATCTTACAGACGAAACCCCAGAGACCCGGAGAAGACTCGCTCGCCCGACACCCCACTCCAGAATTCTCCCTCCAGCCCGGCTGAGCCTGGGGCTGAGGCCAAGGGGCGAACAGCGCCCCCTCCTGGTTCTTCAACAAAGAGACCCCCGAGTCCCAGGGCTCGGCGGGCTGCAGGGCGCCGCCCCTGTTCACAGGCCACCCGAGGTGCAGGTCCTAGGGGCTGCACAGTAGGGGCGCGCATCCTGCAGCCCGCGGACTTCTCCCCACCGTCCGGCCCGGTCCAAAAAAGTTTGTCTAAAAGAAACCAAACAGGAAATGCTGGTGGTGGGGCCGCGAGGCGGCCTCGGCCATCTGCGCCGGCCTCTGGGGAAGCCTCCAGGCTCCCGGCCTCCGCCGGGTTCCCGCCCCCCGCCTCCAGAGCGCGCGCGGAAGAACCCGCTTCCCAGGGGCTGCCAGGAGGAGGCGGGAGCGCGCGCCTGGGTGGGGGCGAGGGAAGGTAGAGCAAAGGGACCCAAAGCGAGCGCCGAGCCCTGGGGGCGCCCGGGGATGGGGACGCCGTTCTTGTCTGTCCTCTACAGAGCCCGCGGGGTAGGTGCTAGTATTTTGTCCATCGCGGGGACCGGGGCTCGCCGTGCGCTAGGCCCACGGCCCCACACCACCCCTTCCAGCTGATCGCGCGGCCTGGGGACGGGCGGGGGCGTCGCTGACCACCTGCGCTCCTCTACCCACCTCCGAGCTGGGGCTTAGGCGCAGCCCGCGTTTCGGCCGCTGCTCTCCAGCCCGGCCACTGGGATCTCGCCCGGCCTGGCCCCTGCCGCCTCCGATCGGTCGCTTACCCCCGGCTCCACACCCCGCCTCCCACTTTCTGAGACCCGGGCTCTTGGCAGCTGGGTGTCCCCGGCTCCTCCCGTCCAGCCCCACCCCCCACACCGAAAGGTCGCGCCAGACTGTGGGCAGCGGCAACTCCGCCACCACCTCGGTCCGCGGCCCTGCGGGGGCGAAGACCGGGGAACCCGCAAGTTTGTGCCGCGCACTCCCGGCCGGGAAACAAAGGCGGGAGGGGGTGCGGTAGGCAGAGAGAAGGAGGGGGAGGGGACAGAGCACCGCGCACCGAAGACAGAGACCCCAGGGAGAGACAAACTGCTTCGATTCTTTCTTGCTCCGAAGAAGAGGGCGCGAGCCCAAGCCCCGGAGGCCCAGGAGGCAGAAGCAGTCCGAGAGGAAGGCGGCGGCGGCGGCGGCAGAGAGCCGGGAGGGGGAAACTGAGTCAGGGGACGAGAGAGCGCGAAGGGGCAGCGGGACGGCGCCTGGCAGAGCCGGGGAGGGGACCCGCCGGGTCCCCGCAGAACCCGCAGGTGGCCAGCGGTCCGGGCGCCCGGCCGGCGCGCGCGGAGTTCCGCTGCCCCCGGCGGTCCCTGCGGCCGCGGAGCCCCGGGGGCTGAGCTGCGCAGGCAGCGGCGGCGGCGGGCGGCGGACTTACGTGGCTAGCGCATGCTGGCGCCCGCGCGGCGCGGAGCTGGCGTGCCTGGGGACCTCGGCCCTCACGCCTCACATCGCGCCGCCGCTCCGGGCGGCCAGGGCAGGGCAGGGCAGGGCGGGCTGGACTCCTGCGCCGCAGGCTTTGCCCGAGTCCTGGCGGTGCGCTCTGGTCCCTCCTCTAGTTCCGCGCACAAGCCAATGGCGCGCCGTCCCCTCCCACGCGCCCGGCTGCCTCGCCCCCGAGGTGGCCGCCAGGGCGGGAGCAGAGGGGTTGGGGGACCAGGCCCCGGGCTCTCTAGCCACGGCTTTGTTGGAGATCGCCTGCGGGGGGCGCACCCACGCCCGGGAGAAGGCGCCTGGCCGTGGAAATCCAGGACGGGCACACCCCGGAGTGGCCCGCGCCGCCTAGGAGGACTTTGTTGGCAAGTTACGAAGATTCTGAAGACAGCGCCCCTTTCCTGGGCTGTCAACATCCCGGTGGATTGGCAAACATCCTGACTTGAATGGCCTCGCCCAGGCCGGGGTCTAAAATGGAAGGGACTGCTTTGTCTGGTAGCGATATCCAAGTGTGACAACGCGCACCAAATGCTGAGCTCCCATCTGGGGCCAGCGCCGTGTGCTTACGGAGTTGCAAGTTTAAGATCATCTGCGTGTCCCAACCACCTCGAAATGATGCGTTGATGGGAGTCGGTGTGATGAGTCCATCGAGTTGATGCCTAGTCCCATTTTACAGATGGTCGTCGTTCATGTGCCTTCCGCTCAGCCTACAGCCTCCCAACCCAGGCCCACCCTTCGCTCCCCCTGCTTGGTGTGACTTTGCCAAATAACAAGTCCCCACCCAACCACCACCTTCTGCCTCACCCTAAAATCCAACTTCAGAATGTGGATGGCAATTGCACTGTGTCTGAATGCCTTGGGGACTCGTGGCTGCCAGAGGATTTCTCTCTCTGCTCATGCTGTTGGGGGTGTGAGGGGAGGGTGGGGTGAGGTGTGGGGGTCCTGGAGGCTCTGGGCATCTGCCAGCCTCAAAGAACCAGACTCTCAAGAACACCTCCCCCACCCCCACTTATTCTGGACTTGTCCCCTTAGGGCTAGTTTGTGCTCTCTGGCCCACCTCGCCCCCACCCTGCACCCCTCCTGCTTAGAGAAATGCCAAGATTTTCTTCCTACCGTGGCCACGGTGGGTCTGGAGGAGAGAAGGAAAGGAGGGCTGATGACATGCTCCATTTCACAGGGTAAGTAGGACAGCGGGAGGGAAGGCCGCCCGGGCCTCTTGCTAGGTGGGCATCCTGACTGGGTCTGAGATCTTTCTGCACTAGTTCCTTCAGGGTTAATCAAGCAGACTCTGGAACCGGAGGGCAGGGGTTCAAATCCTGGCTCTGCCTTTTAGCGACCACGTGGCCTTGGGCCAGTAGGTTACCTCACCTCTTATTCTGTCTCCTCATTTGCAAAATGGGGGTGACCCATAGTAGGAAGCACCTATAGTTCTTGCGGAGATTTCAAGTTAATAGCAGCAGCTCAGGTTGATTGAGCGCTGGCGGAGTGCCAGGTGCTCGGGGCTGGCATGCCAGGTGCTCGGGGCTGGCGTGCCAAGCAGACTCCCCCTGCCCTCCCTGGAGCGGGACTGGGCATGAGAGGCTGTGCCCCATGCCAGGAAGTAAACAGAACAGTGCTCGGCTCCTAGCACAGTGACTGTTCACTGTCCTGATTACCAAGGTAACTAAATAAACTCTGATCGTAGTGCCACCAGCTCTGCTCCCAGCCAGTGATGAGTGAGCCAGCCAACAGGTGTGTGGCCCCAGAGAGGACTTAGACGGATCCAAGAGCCACCTGACTTGGGGCCCTGTCCTGGGCATTGCAATAGCTCAGCATCTCAGCTCAGGCCTGAAGGGGGCTAGAGGGAGCTGGGATGGTGAGTGAGTCCTTGTCCCTCCGTCTCTGCTCTTGGCATGCAGGGCTCCAGGTCGCTGTGTTCCACGCTGAGCACAGGGGCTGAGGCTGCTCCGCCATCCTTTGTGAAGGAGGCAGTCTAACCGGCCCCCTGCCTGTTGGCCTGGCAAGGTGCTGGGTGCTGGGGCCCTGGGGTGAAAGGGCACCATCCCTGTTTTTGGGGGGCTCCCAGCCTCCTGGGGGACAGTCAGCAGAGGAAACACTCGCAGTGACAGCTGATAACCTTGGAACCCACGGAGCCCAGGCTTCAACACCCCAAGGGTGGAGACCACCTCTCTGGTGTCCCTGGGCAGCTCTTTGCTGGCTTCTGCTTGCACGCTGCTACTGACGAGGTGCTAAGAGAGCCTCTTGTCTATTGGAGGAAGAGTGCCCAGACGGGAGGAGACAGGCCATTCCCCGTGCCCCTCAGGCTGCCCCCTTTCCTCCTCCTCCCTGTGCGCTATTCTGAGGGCCAGTGCGTCCAGCCCAGGAACACACCTCGGGCTGCCAGGCGCCCTTGTTTTCTGAGTTACTGCATCTTCGTGTTGGGCATGGAAGGCTCACCTGCTGGGCGCGTGGTAACCATGAGGCTCAGGGTCATTTGCAGAGCAGGAGGAAAGACCTGAATGAGGTGGGGGAGAGGGGTTGGGACTTCAGCTGTGCGCCTACCTAGCTATGTGACCCTGGGCTGCACCTGAGAAGTGGAAACCGAGAACCATCTGCCTCTGGGAACTGGAGAGTCAGTGAGGGATTCGATTAAAAGGTTTGCAAACTGCAAGCGCTGATTCCTATTATTATCCTGATTATTGTGACTCTTAAAATGTTCCTAGAGCCTGGGGAGTGGGGGTGGGGTGGAGCCAGGAGGGTGGTGGGAGGGTCCCTCTCCAGCTGCCCTGAGTGCCTCAGTGTGCTCCCGAGGGAGGAGTTTTGACTGTGTCCCTGCGTCTGTCTGCTGGAGCAGGTGGGGGCTAGACGTGAGGAGGGGCAGCCTGGGAGCGCCCGTTTCTGTGCCCAGAATCACTTAGGGAGTGTGACTCCTGGAGGAAGAATGAGGATGTGATTTGATTTCAGAGGAACCTGCAGTGAGACCTGGGTCAGAATGAGCTGAGAGGCTGGGGTGGGGGCTGGGCCTGGTCTTTGGGGCCAGGACCTGGGGACAGAGGTTTCAGCAGTGACCACCCCCACCCTGGGGATAGGGGACCTGTAGAGGTGGAGAATGTTCTTAGGGGCCTGTGGTGTTTGAGACCAGGGATTTGGGGGCCGACAGACCTGGATTCAAATTCTGACTATGGAACCATCTCTGAGCCTCATCTGCAGAATGGGGATGGCAGCGCTTAGTGGCATTTCAGGGACAGGCCTGTGTTTTGGTCAGCTTTGCACTGTTGTGACCAAAATACCTGACAAGAACAACTCAGAGGAGGGACAGTTTATTTAGGGCTCATGGTATCAGAGGTCTCAGTCCAGAGATGGCTGGCTCCACTGCTCTGGGCCACAGGTGAGGCAGAGCGTCCTGGGGGGAGGGCTGGGGGGAGGGTGCTCAGCTCACCGTGGGGTCAGACAGCAGAGAGACAGAGAGAGGAAGGGGCCGCAGGGAACATCTCCCAGGCAGGCCCCACTGACCCCTCTCCCCCAGCTGAACCCCACCTGCCCACAGTTGCCACCCATTTCAACTAGGATGGGCCGATGAGGCCACAGCTCTCACAGTGCAGCCGTGTCACCTCTGAACATTCCTGCCCCGTGCAGGGGCTTTGAGAAGAGAGCTCCTGTCCCCACCTTAACGGCACGGAACCGGCCCCCAGGAAGCCGAGCTACAGTGCTGCTGTTGGCAGGAGGGGAGCAGGGCCTGGGGCTGTGCTCTGTGGGCTGCAGGGGGCAGCTCTGGGTGAGAACTGCCCGCCTGAGTTGGTCAAGGGTGCCACAGGAGCTTCCGCTTGGCCCAGGCAGAAGGGCCTCCCCCACGCCCAGGGATGGGCAGAGGGACTGGGCTTTCTCAGCTCCTTCCTGTTCCCCTTCCAGCTGTCCCCAGGCTTCCTTCCTCAGTGGCAGGAGCTCTGTGCTGTCCCCTCCAGCCCCGTGGCCTGGGCTCCACACAGCTTCAGACAGGCCTCCCCATGTCCTGCTCCTCTCCATCCTCCAGCCAGGAGGCTGACCAGGCCTCCCCCCCACACCCCCACAGCTGCCCCCCTCCTGTGACTCATCCCACTGTGCTGTGGCATCTCTGCTCTGGGACCGGAAATGCCAGGCAGTTCCTTACCTGCGGGAGAGAGCTGATCTGGAGGGGGCGGGAGTAAAGGGGCTCAGGTCTCCCCAAGGAAGAGTGGGAGAGCTCAGGGACCACAGTCAGCCCTCGCTGCTGCCCCTGGGGAAAGGCCCAAAGGAGGCAGGTAAGATGGCACTTGGGAGTCAGACCGTCCTAGATGGAGGTTCAAGGTCCTAGCCCACTGATAACCAGCTCTGTGACTGTAGGCGAGTTACTCAGCCTCTCTGAGCCCCAAGGTGTTCATCTGTCACATGGAAAGAGGGCAATGACACAGAGGGTACTGAGGGATTAAGTGAGATGTGGTGTAAGGCCTGAGCTCGGGCCTGACTCATGGTAAGTACTCAATAAAATGTTCGTTGACCCGGTGGTGAGTGAACGGGGGCAATGGAGGCGAGTGGGGGCCACGCAGTGGGTGTGACTGTCTGTAGGAAAGCCAGCCTCCCCCGCGGGGATGGCAGGAGATGTCTCAGGATCCCTGCTGCTCAGAACCTCAGCCAGGATCCAGTATGGAGTCCCCTTGTGGAGACGCCTGCTGATTCCACAAACAAGCAAGAGCTTCAAGCTTGGCTGGGCCTCTCTGCCGGTGCTGAGCCCTGGACAAGGAAAGAGTCACCGTGTGGCCAGGGAGGGAGCAGGTGCTGGGGCCTTGGCTCGGTGCCCTCTTCCAGGAATCCTGCTCTAGTAAGTCCCTCAGCAGCCGCTCTGGGCTGTGGGGACACGGATTTACACCCTGAGTGTCCCTCTCAGGGTGTGGCTAGCCTCTCACCTGCTTCCTGCTCAGGAGCACACTGGGCCACCTGTGTCCCATGGCCTGGGGCTTTACCCTTCTCCACAAGACAGCATTCTGAGCCATTACCACATGCCAGAGCCCAGCTTGTCCATTAATCTTAAAGTTGTCATGGTCACTATCGTTACTGGCACCATTTTATAGATGGGAAAGTCGAGGCC